ATTTAGTTCTCTCCGGAATGATGTAAAAATGAGCGTTCTTGCTCATTTTGCTTCTGAGAAATGAGCAAAAACGGGACGGAAAACATGAAATTTTTGAAAATACAAACAAACTTTTCGCAAGACCGAAACATGTGATACATTTTTGTTTCTCTTGAACTGATTTTGAAAATCTAGATCTCCAATATATAAAACCAAATAAAAGTGTCAATTGAAATTAAAAACCGGTTTTGAGCTATTTAGTTTGTCCCGAACTTTTGGCGTTGAAATGAAAAAAAACCTCTTTGTTTGTCCAACTTTTGCATTTTTTCATTTGCCAAATGTTACGGCAAATTTGGCCGTGTAACGTTGATTTTGTTGAGCAGTTTACGAGCTATTCAGTAATTTACATTCAAAAATTAAAAATCCCTTAAACAAAGAAATTGTTGTGCCTGCATGAGACGCCCCTGGGTAACGTCTGCAAATACCAGCCAGTAAATTAAATCGGGAATTTCATAATAATAATTTAATAAGTTAAGCGCAAAAGGTTTAAAAAAATATTACGAAAAAACCATCTTTAGCGTCCTCTCTTTCATGTTCAGCACCTTTTGTGCTTTTGTTAATGTTTATACGAGCCCGTTTTATTGTTTTACAAGTTTTTCATATTACAATATTTTGTGATTATCTGTTACATGTGCTCAAATCATTTCACTTGTCACTTCACGGCTATCAAAACTGTCTTAACTGTCTTAAAGTGCCCCAATGTGGCAACGTTGAGAGGCGCGAACACCACTTATATTTTTCAGCCTGCATTGGTAATATCTAGATGTGGACCGAAAATTTATAATTCTACTATTTTTAAAACTGCACTTATATCATTAAAGTATGAGTGCTAGACTGTGATCATTAACGACTTTTATACAGAATTAAAGACATCTTTCGTCAAGAAGCTTTAAAATTTGCAGAAGACTAGAAGAAGAAGGCTAGAAGAGGACCAAAATTCAGGAACTTCTGAGCAAATCTCATCATCTATTCAGGCTAATAAATAAAGGTGGCAAAAAATAACTTACTCTTTGATAAGCTGCTGAAGCGGTTCTCTCTGCCAGTTTCGTCTTCATGCACGAGTGCACTTCTTATCTCTCCCCTCTGTAACAATATGAGAATGCGGTCAGCTTTTTGTTCACGCCATTGAATAAAATCTCAAAACGCTTCCAAGCGAAACTTTTCATATCCGATTCGTTCCAGAGTAACCATCAAGATAACGCCAGAAGCGCTACTACAGGCTGATTTCGGAGAAAATGATAATATTTGAAAAACAAGCCCTGTATTGTTTCAGATATTGTTTGTAGAACGAAAATGTTGCAAAACCAAGACAGCAAATAAAATGCCAATTTGAAACACACAAGTGTCTAAAGAACTTTATAAGATGAATTAATTCTATTTATTTATTAACTGTTTTGTTTGGTTGGTTTTGCAATAATTTGTTTGTTACATAATTTCCATCACCCAGTAAATGATTGTAGTAAGTTTTGATGATGGTGTTTTTAAATAAAGCATTTTAATCCAGAAAAAAACAACGAAGAAGTTTTATTTTGTCCACCCAGTCCAGACAAACGTGCCAATTGTTGTGATCCAAAGCATTTGCCATGCTATTATTGTACATTCCTCAAGAGTGCTTGCGGAGATCCTTTTACTTGAACCGTCCTAGGGGGGAATTATTTTCCACCGGCCCAACTAATTACACTTGTAATGGCACTTTTACTCTCAATTGAGCCGAAATTAAGCAAAAGGAAGCCATTTCGTGTTTCTTTAATCTTTCCCCCCTTCTTTCCAAGATCCTTCTTCATTAAGACGCAATTTACAAGCGCCGTAGTCTGTCTGAGTGTATCTCCAAACACAAAAGGAAAAAAATTAAAAGGAAACGCATTTTATTCAACAAATAAATCAGGGGGGAAATCATTATTAAGAGGCATGGAGTATGATAAATCTTAAAGTTGCAGGACTTGGTCTGGGAATTTTCTGAAAATTTGAATCCAGAGCAAGTGTATCTGGATTAAGTCCAGATTTTTTCATCTTTAGCAACATTCCACTCTCCACTGAGGAGGAATGTCTTATATACATTCTAAGTATTTATAATATAAATTCACTATGCAGATTGTCCTACATCCACTACACTTTTCTGCAAGAAACTTCTTTGTGTCGAATTCGGAGCAATTGGGGCCTTCTTGGGGATGATTCTTAGAATCGATACGTTTAAGGAAGTCCCAAAGAAGATTTTTCCCTTGTTAAAAATTTGAGAGTTGAGAGAAAAATGTGTTCTTGGCCTTGGCAAACGGCATCTGCTCCGTTATTGTGCTCATTTTGTAAATCATTGCGAAGCTTGTGTGGAAGAACTAAATATTTTCAAACGGAAAATACGTTTATATTAGCCGACGGATTCCCTCACCAAGGGGGATTGTGTTTAAATAAAGGGGGGATTTTTGGTCTCCCAAGTTGATCTGATCAAATGAAAATTGACCAGTTTTATGACTGATACATGATATGATTTCGAACGAGGCACCAGGATTTTAAATATCAAACTTACTTTAAGGGTAAATTTTTCGACTTTTTGCCGAAAAAATTGAAGAAAAGATGATTTCCCAATTTTCTTTGCGATTGCAACTTTCGTTTCCACTCACTCGTTTCCACGTGAGAAAAAGGAAATACTGTTGGAAAAATTGGCAGCTGTAACTCGTCTTTCTTTTGGGAAAAAATTACCAGTTGCAATCAATACACCCAAAGAACTATAATTTTAATTTCTCTGATTTTTATAAAATCATATTTCCACTTATTAAAAGGTCTGTTTTTACGAGATTGGAATTTAGATTTTAGTTCGTTGTTCAAGACGTTATTAGCTTCTTTTAAATAAAAACAATTGTATAAATTGGTAAGTTATTTTTGAATTTATAATAAAACATGTTCGAAAGAATTTTAGTATTAATTGTTGGTTTGTCTTTAATTTTTTTTAATTTTGACTCAAATTTTCACTTATTTTCATTAAAAATTCGCGCAAAATCCAGCTAACCAAATAATTTTTTCCTGCAAATTTGTCTGAAAGCATCAAGATTAATCAAATATTTCCTGCATTTTTTGCTCGGAAATCAAAAAACGTTTGCAGCCGGCTTATTGAGGACTTTAGAGGAAAAGTGACTATCAACTTTTTTATACACTTTGGCTTGCTCCATACAGTGCCGTGCAAAAAACGTGTCCATTTGGTTTACTTTTGAAGATAAATGGGGCTTTTTAGAAAC